AAAGGCACATCCATAATAGGAGAGGTGTTCTGCATCCACCAGAGAATTGGCATCTCTGGGTACATAATGGGGGCGGGAAGGGGAGTTTAACTAAAGAAACTGGGGGCAGAAATAAAAGCAGCCAATGAGCATAAAAAACAACCCTAAACTAACCTATATATAAACAAATGACGTCACGCATTATGAAATGGACATTTTTATGTTTAACATTCTTTTTAAAAATACAAATATTTTAAGTAAATGCTCTGTTTATAATAAACAGCATTAAACAACATTTACCGGCCTGAATGTCCGAGAAATTATCACAGAAAATATTCGTCCTCCGACAGGATTCGAACCTGTATCCTATACGGAACCTTGAGTGGCTTTACCGGAAGACGAATATTTTCTGTGAAAATTTCTCGGACATTCAGGCCGGTAAATGTTTAATACTGTTTATTATAAACAGGGCATTTACTTAAATATTTGTATCTATAAAAAGATCGTATAAACATAAAAATGTCTTAAAATAATTGTCGGACTTTGTCAATTTCATAATGTGTGACGTCATTTGTTTACACTTGATACGCCATGAGCAGACATGAATGTACGTGAGAGATTCATGGAAGGTTGAAGTTTAAAGACAGTAAATTCGACCTTGCTAACCGAACGCTCCTTCGTGGCCAAATCCTTAAATGTGGCAGAAAATCAAACAGGACAAAATTAATGCAGGACTCGGTAATTAATAACCATCATTCGACCAATCCCTCACTCAAACATACACTTATCTAAACACAAAAACAAATACGAAATACACACTCGAAAAACGAAAAGCGCCCGAATCTAATATAATAACTGATATTTTTGTCACATAACGTGGGGAGGGGGAGAATTAAACTAAAGAAAATGGGGACAGAAATAAAAGAGGCCAATAAGCATATATCCCCTAGTTAATTTAACTTGATGGAAGAAACTAAAGATAAAACAAAGCTAAACTACCCTATTTTGGGCGGCGTTATCAATGTTCAACACAGAATTCCTGATGCCTAATCAGCGCAAAATACCACTCCAAGTCAGTTCCTTCTACTCGTCACAAATGCTGAAGACTCACCCAAATTTTGCCAAATTATGATGGAGAGAATCATTGCCTTTCTGTCTTGACTTTAAACTGATAATTAAAGTACACGATCAGTTGGGAAGAGTTAAACTTCTCGTCTCTATAGAATTCATTCTGTTGCGTCGTTCATATCACGACTCTCATAACGGCTAGCAAGCAAAAGAACACCTAGTGCTCGGCCTTAGTCACAGGTGGTACCACGTTGCTACACACAGAACTAGCATGCGAACCATGATATATTCAATACACTTGCACAACGGTACTACGACCCTGCAGTGAAAGGTGGGACCAAAGGGTCTCCACAGCCCCACTACAGCGAAAGCAATTTGAAGATTTTTCCAAAATCCCGCATTCTGATGTAGAAACACTTTAAATGACTTTCACGCGTGTGTGTCCGCCTGACCTTTTTTAGGTAAAGTAATGCAGACATTTGATTTTCACGCATCTCTCTACATCGGTTCGAGTTTTCTTACTGGTCCGGGTTAGCACAGTGCTTATGTGGAAGAATGGTGTTCGCAATTTGAAGTAACGATACTACACTCACAAAAATCTGTACACAGAGTCGATCAACCATCAATTTCTCTTTATTCATACTTTGATATTAGCAACACACACACACACACACACGTGTGTGTGTGTGTGTGTGTATGTGTGTGTGTGTGTGTGTGTGTGTGTAACAGCGAAATTCTCTAAACCGTGTAACAGCAAAAATGTCCAATTGTTAGATTAAACTTTTAAGATTTGAACCGGTGTATCTTAAAAATGATTAAAGATATCTTACTGGAATTCTCCAAGGTTTTTATAACTCTATTGGACTCTACTTTAAGCAATAAGAATGTATCATTCTTCTCCAAGCTTAACGAAAAATCATGCTGATATCGATCATAAGCGAAAATGACATATTTATCATTAATTAATCATTGCTAAGGATTGGAAGTTCATGAACAATTGAAATAAAGTCCAAACATATAACGAACCATGATTTATTCAATAAACTTGCACAACGGTACTACGACCTTGCAGTGGAAGGTGGGACCCAGGGTCTCCACAGTCCTACTACAGCGAAAGCAGTTTGGAGATTTTTCCAAGTCTGCCGAACAAAGAGCCTTTGAGTATCTCCATTCAGGTGAGTGATGACTCATCATTAATGAAGCATTTCCACCCGGCACCCAAGGCTATATTGGTCTGCTTCGTAAGACCGAGCTCGCCTATAGATCATCATAAACGGATCCCCTAACTAACACGTGATGTAATGCCTTCCGGGACAAGGACTGGACTGTCGGAGAGGACATCCGTCGCCCATAAGATGTGCTTGAGGGCATTCACGATAGAAGGAGCACTTGCCTCGGAGTAAACGGGGGGCAGGATCCTCCTCGCACGTGTGCACACGCCTCAGGGATGGGAATTTCTTACAGGCGTTTCCTTCCAGAATACTCCCTCACTATCCGATTGTTGATACATTCGATCTAGAGACGCCATGGGAAGCATATATTGACTAATCTCAACGCTAGGGATACCCAGATCACTTTCAAAAGGGTGTAAGTAACAGATCTCACGAACTATTTTAGGAGCCTTTCCTCCTCATAAGAAGGAAAACAAGACTCTAATTGCAATATTATGGCATACACGAGGAGAAGCACGGAGAGTCGGTAAAGGAGAAGTGGGTAGATATGCGAAACGCCGCCCTCCCGTTTAAGGAAAGATTCCTCCGAGACCACAGAACTGAAACCTCGGCCTCTCTTCTGAACTTCCGAATAATTCATTTTCAAGAGGAGTTCGGGACTGAACAAGATGCCGAGTATCTTGACCAGCCCGTCCGTCCAGAGTAAAGGCCCGGGAAGAGGAATTGCTTTCCACACGTCCAGCTGCAAGCCAACAAGCTTATCGTAGATTATCTTGGCCCCTGTCACTGTCCTGTACCCTCTGCTCTCTTTACCGACTTCGTCAGTCTCGGATCAGAAATAGAGTACCTGGACGACGTGTTAGCACCAGGAAAGGACGCGTAAGAGATCGGATCCAGGTGCGAAAGTACGGCCGGAAACCGGCGGCTGAAAGGACAGTCTCCAGGAATCGATGCCTTCGACTGATCTAAATTGATTAGCGCTGTGTCACTGATAGGGTTTTCCTGTGGTATGTTTAGTGGCATATCAACTTCTTATGTGTCATTTAACGCCGAATTTTTTTTTATAACCATGCTTATTGCTATTAATTTTTTTTTATTTCTATGAAAATGCATTGCTGGTATTTCTACAATAAAAATGTATTCTTATATTTTCATAGTGCTTTAACTCCAGTTTGGGGATTTACTAATGGTGGAGGAAAAATAATTAGCGAATAAAATTTCAGGGGTAAAATGCGGAAAGGTCATAAGTATAGTTGAAGTGGCCTTTAGAAGTAACCGGAAGTCCAATTCTAAACAGGACGCAAAGGATAAACCTCTACTCCTGTGCAAAACAACGGGCAGGAGGGTGAAGCATACATATGTATAAACACCCCCATATATATATATATATATATATATATATATATATATATATATATATATATATATATATATAAGACAACTTATACTTTGGCATGTTTCTCCGATGATCCAGCTTTGTCATTTACTTTTCACTTCTTAGGACATTTCACGAGTGAAAAATTATAAAATTCAGAGTTGACCTGCAATAAATATTGAACAATGTTTTATCTCTTTCAATAATATATATATATATATGTATGTAATATATTATATATATTATTATTTATATATTATATGCATGGTACTTATTAGAAAGCGCTCAATATCAGAGGTAGAGCTAATATATTGGGTTGGATTGATTGGTTGATCGCAAAAGCGTGAAACCCTGAGGTCACAAACTCACATCAATCCAACCAAATATATATATATATATATATATATATATATATATATATATATATATGTGTGTGTGTGTGTGTGAGAGTGTGTGTGTGCGTGATCTTTTTTATATATATATATATATATATATATATATGATCTCTTTGACAAAATTAAAATCTAGATATCCTAGATAAAATCGAGAGAAAAATCAGCAATATTATTGGTCCCGATCTGGCGTCTCGGATTCAGTCGCTTCCCCTTCACCATAAAGTTGTCTCCCTTTCTAAAAATGCTTTCATGGTCATTAATCGATTGGGTTCTTCTCTGTGGTGCCTTGACTCTTTGAATTTAAGCGGAGTTACTAGACTGGTGACGAGGTCTCACCAAATTTACAGTTAAGCTGGCTAGATGTAACCATAAATACTAATCTAACAGTTTCTTTTCTCGCACTACTTGCTTGTGGAACCTTTTTCTGGCTTCATGCTTTCCAGCCAACTTTAATCTGCAAAAATCTAAATGCAATGTCAATCGCTATTTACTGTCTTCCTGGTTACTCTTCGTTTGTTCTTTCTACTTAGCAATGTTCCTGTTTCTATCTCTAAAACACCCAGTAACCACTTCTTTCTTAGTGGATTTACTACTTTGCTTGTATTGAAAACGATTATCTATCTATCTATCTATCTATCTATCTATCTATCTATCTATCTATCTATCTGCATATGTGTGTGTGTCTGTGTAAGATCGAATCAGCTGCTGTTTACTTCCAAATAATTTCTTATTTGGTAAACGGATAACCTTTGGCCATTTCTAAGTGACGTAAGATTTTCTCTGATTTTCATCGATTCTTATCAGACGTTCTCTGTCTTTTGGTCCGTATTCATTTGACAACCGATGTGAAATCACCAATCCCTCTCACTCTCTCTCTCTCTCTCTCTCTCCGAAATAATGCAGAGGAATTTGTTTGGAAGGTCTCACCCAAAGAAGTACCTTTAATCTCTTCTATGTACTGAGCTGATAATACATCATATTTCACTCTGGAAGAGAAAATAATAATTATCAATGAAAATATATGAAATTACCTCTGGGGCCGGAATTTTCCTACTAACCCTCTCTCTGTCTCTGTCTCTCTCTCTTTCTCTCTCTTCATCTCCCCCTCTCTCTGTCTCTATCCCCCTCTCTCCCTCTATCTCTCCCGCTGTCTGTCTCTGTCTCTCCCTCTTTCTCTCTCTTCATCTTTCTCTCTCTGTGTCTCTCTTCCTCTCTCTCCCCATCTCTCTTTCTTTCTGTCTCTCTCTCTCTCTCTGTCTCTCCCTCTGTCTGTCTCTGTCTCTCCCTCTTTCTCTCTCTTCATCTTTCTCTCTCTGTGTCTCTCTCCCTCTGTCTCCCCCTCTCTCTTTCTTTCTGTCTCTCCCTCTGTCTCTCTCTGTCTGTCTCTTCCTCTCACTCATTCTCTCCCTTCATCTCCCTCTTCCTCTTTTTCTCTCTCTCCCTCTCTCTGTATGCCTCTCCCTCTTTCTCTCTCTTCATCTCCCTCTTCCACTTTATCTCTTGTTCTCCCTCTCTGTCTGTCTGCTTCTCCCTCTTTCTCTCTTTTCATCTTCCTCTCTCTGTGTGTCTCTCTCCCCCTCTCTCCATCTCTCTCCCTCTCCCTTTTCTCTCTCTTCATCTCCCTCTCTGTCTCTCTACCTCTCTCTCCACCTCTCTACCCATCTCTCCATCTCCCCTTTCTCTCTCTTCATCTCCCTCTCTCTCTCCCTCTCTCTCTTCCACTCTCTCTCTCACTCTCTCCGGTTTTCTTTCTATAACGCACATTTAGATAGTAAGTATTCAATCCAACAAGTTTATGAATTTCGACCGTCAAGTTCTCTCTGCATAATAATTTATAATTTTCCAATTTACGAATAATTTTTCGTACATCCAGATCAAATTTGGGGACAAACTGTTCAAATTGGTAAATCGTTTTTTTTTTTTTAATTTTTTTTTTGTTTCCCAATGATGTCTGGTCATTCACAAGAATAGTAATATTGCCAGCGCCATAGAAAAAGATTTTAGGAACGCTGTTAGCAGACAGAGAAAGAAAGCTGAAAAAAAAAACCTTGTGAAGGAAAGCAAGAAGAAAGGATTAAACATCAACTGCAAAAAGACAGAATGCATTGTTTTGCAAAAGGATGATCCCAACGAGCGAACTGCAAATCAAAGATACCAAAACCAAACAAGTACAGAAATATTAAATATCTGGAAGGTGTTTTAACAGAGGACAGAACGTGTGACACTCAAAGCCGAAGGCGTCTTTGGATAGCCAAGGAAACAATCCAAAAGTTAATCAGAAACAGAAAAATTTTGCTCGAAACAAATAAAAGAGTACTAAACTTCTATGTGATATCTGTCCTCCTGTATGGTAGTGTGTGCCGGACGATCTCCTCAAGGGTGCATAGTGAACTTATAGAAACAGAAATGTGGTTCTACAGAAGGATGATGGGGATACCGTGGATCTAGTATGTGAGCAACGACGGAGATTTGGAGAAAATGGAAACGAAAGGAAAATTAATACTTAGAATCAGGAAGAAACAGTTTTTGAGGCATATAATGAGCTTGTAAAATCTTGGATAATCCCGAGACAGAGAAAACGAACGCATGACGTACTTAGTGGGCTTGAGTAAATGTATTGCGGAACAGGGCTCATGAGAAATAACAGAAAGACAAAGTTTATTAAGAGCTACAAGGGACTGAAAGTTGTGGAGAGCCATCACTGCCTACGCCCTGAGGGGACACAGCATATAAAGTAGAAAAGAAGATTCAAACATAAATTTAAATGTGTTGTGTATAAGTGAGGTCACAGGGACAACAGTTTAACAAAGCAGTATAGTAACAGAATATGGTATTATTCAATATTTTTACGCATTTTGAACACATATTATATATATATATATATATATATATATATATATATATATATATATATATATATATATAGCTAGAAAGGTTTTTTTGTGTTAAGCTGACGGTGATTAGGTGCGCTGTAACGGTTATTATTATTCAAAAGCAAACGGTCAAATTATTCTAGAGGCTATTCGTCCTGCGATGAGCACATTTTCTTTTTCTTTACTAAGAATTTGCGAATGAGCTGACCGAGAGACAACATACACTCTGTTTATTATAAAAATATAAATATGCGGTGATTATCTTAAATACAAGTATGCACTAAAATAACATTTGAAATAATATATATATATATAAAGAGTGTTTCATTAAGAAGGATTATATATAAGGGTGCTTCATTAAGACGAATCAAAGTCAGCAGTAAATCAATCAATGTTATTGTTCAAAATGTAGTTATTTTTCTATTGGATCATGTTATTTAAGTCATGTCAATTGTGTGTGAAAAATAAAATCGCCCAAATGTCGGCACACATTCACTCGATGGTCAAAATATCTTCATATACTCGATGACGTCTCTGCGTAGTTGCCTCTGGATCTCACCAATATGTTTTATTATCATATATATATATATATATATATATATATATTAAAGATATTTTTGTAGGTACAAAATTTAATGATCGAAATAAAAGTATAAAACTTAATATTACGAGACATGTTAAAAACGGGCGAAGCAACCGGTTTCGCTCCCGCTCTTCAGGCTTCAACGAGAGATTTAATTTAAAATTAACACAGAATAAAAGGAACTTCCTTTTATTGTACATTTTTCTGTGTTAATTTAAAATTAAATCTCCCGTTGAAGCCTGAAGAGCGGGAGCGAAACCGGTTGCTTCGCCCGTTTTTAACATGTCTCGTAATATTAAGTTTTATATATATATATATATCTACCGTGTGTAACAGAAAATTTGTCCAAATCGTGTTACAGCATAATTGTCCATCACGCAAAATGTATAATATCTAAAAAAAAAAAGACTAAACTAATTGAGTTTCTTTTTTCCCAGGCTTTCTGATTGTTATGTAGTGGTTTCACAGTGGAGGCTTGTATTTGTACTAAGTCGGTCCTAAAATAGGTTCGACGTACAAAACGTTAGGAACATGATATAATAGGTAATGACGCAGTAATCTAGTTGCGGTGGCTGATACTTTAATATCCGACTAACGGTCGTCCGACATCGACTGACTGACCAACTCACTGAGCGGCATTTAGTCACCCCCACCCACGACGGCATCATGTGGCACAAGGCCGGTTTAACGTGGGATCTTCGAACCCGTGGGCTCGGCCAAAAATATGCCCATTGAACCCGTATAAAAGGGTTGAGGGTCAGTTTACCTCCCCGAAAGAGAATCCGCCCTTCGGCGTAGCTTCCTTCGGGTTCCTCCCCGCTCGAAGGCAGAGAGTTCAACCGGTCAGCTGGTCGTCCGACTTCAGACTGAACTCAGACCAACTCACTGAGCGACTTGTTACTCTTACTACTCCTACTTATTATAGGCGGGAGAGTCTATTAACTATAGAATGGGTGTGTTCCCCTATCACACTGATAAGAAATTTAGCCATCTTAATACCATTTGTTGTATGACTCACTGAAAAAAAACTTTTCTTCAGCTAGAAAGAAAACAGATTAAAATCATTTCGTGTCAGCCCCACTGCCTTCCTAACTAAACAAAAAACATTGAGGCATTTAGTAATGGTACATTAATACGCTGGCTTCCATCTTCAAAATATGTCAAGAGAACGATGAATAAGTTTAAAAAAGAGGATAAAAGTAGAGAGTCAAACTGGATCAGGAGGTCAGAACAGAAAGAGGGGATCATCATTTAAACTTAGAGTCAAAAGGATCAATTAGAAAAAAAAAATCAACTCAATCCATAAGATGTTTGGCACATGAGAGAAGAATTATATATATATATATATATTTGAACTTTATTTCCATCCTTCATGAACTTCCAATCCTTAGCTATGATTAATTAATGATAAACACGCCATTTTCGTTCTTGATCGATTTCAGTGACGAATTTTCTATTAAACTTGGAGAAGAATGATACCTTCTTATTGCTCAAATTAGAGTTCAATAGAGTTATAAAAACCCTGGAGAATTCCAGTAAGATATCTTTAATCATTTTTAAAATACACCGGTTCAAATCTTCAAAGCTTAATCCAACAATTGGACAATTTTGCTGTTACACGGTTTGGACAATTTTGCTGTTACATATATATATATATATATATATATATATATATATATATATATATATTGCTAATATCAAAGTATGAATAAAGAGAAATTGATGGTTGATCGACTCTGTGTACAGATTTTTGTGAGTGTAGTATCGTTATTTCAAATTGCGAACACCATTCTTCCACATAAGCACTGTGCTAACCCGGACCAGTAAGAAAACTCGAACAGATGTAAAGAGATGCGTGAAAATCAAATGTCTGCATTACTTTACCTAAAAAAGGTCAGGCGGACACACACGCGTGAAAGTCATTTAAAGTGTTTCTACGTCAGAATGCGGGATTTTCGAACGTATGTCTTTTGGAAAAAAAAGTAGCCACTTAAAATGTGGGATTTAGAGGTTCGTGATTGGGAAATGAAAGTGACCCTTGCGTCCGTTAGACTGGCCGCTCTGGGAAAAATGGAAAACGCTGAGACCGTGTTGGAGCCAGAGAGTGGGTCGGCGCGTATATCCCATCACCACTTCCACTTCCGCTACACAGCAACGCCCACAGATGTATTCAAAACACAGCGGATGCCTTATTTTAACTCTACAAAGAAAAGAGTATTGAACTATTACGTGATATCTGTCCTCCTGTATGGAAGCGAATGCTGGACAATCCCCTCAAAGATGAAGAAGAGACTTGAAGAAACAGAAATGAGGTTCTACAGAAGAATACCAAGGATACCATGGAACGAACGTGTGAGCAACGACGAGATTTTGAAGAAAATAGAAACAAAAAGGAAACACATTCTTAGGAAGAGGCTGTTGAAATTTTTGAGGCACCGTATGAGGAAGGACGGCTTCGAAATCCTGATACTCACAGGACCGAGGGAAATAGGGACAGAAAGACAGCGTGTAACATACTTGATGAGCTTGAGCAAATAGATGATAGAACAGGGTTTGGGAGAAATAACAAAAACATTATTATGAGCTAAAAATGAAAAGAAGATGTGGAGGGTCATGAACTCCTATGTGCTGAAGGCACAGGATGCATAAAAGAAGAAAGAAGCACGTTGTGGAATTGGTGAGCATATTTCAAAGTTTCAAATTCCAGATTTGTCTGTTGTGTTCATTTTTCTCAAAATGGCCTTGGGTAAGGTACAAATCCGTTTTGTCTACCCTCCCACCGACCAGTGGTAGGTTAAATTGTAGGGGAAAATATATAACCAGTATGTCCGGCTATTTACATATAGCTGGAGGTAGAATAAGAGGATTCATATATATATATATATATATATATATATATATATATATATATTAAGAAATGGACAAAGTCCGACAATTTATTTATTAAAGACATTTTTATAAAAACGAACGTTAAACATAAAAATGTATTTAATAAATATATATATATATATATATGAAATATTTTTGGGAATCAAAAAAAAATTCGCTTGAAGATGGAACAGAGCTTACTTTAACTCAATTTAATTCAAATAATTATATTGAAGTTTCCGGCTCTTGCTTTGAAACATGAGACCTCTTATGTCGCGAGTTGGAATCAATATTTTTAAATAAATAATTATATATATATATGTGTGTGTGTGAGTGTTTGTGTGTGTGTGGATGGGTGTGTGTACGTTTGTGTCTGTTTGCATCTCTGTGTATTTAGACATCAAATGCTCTTTATGCTAAAAAAAAAAAGAGAGAATAGACTCACATTTCTCCATACAAATGTAACTTTTGAAAAAAATAATACTTTGAAACCGATAAAGTTAGCGTAAATAAATATTATCAAAGATTACAGCTGCATTATCAACTTCTTTTTCTCATATTTTAAGGTTATATATAATGTTATATATAATGTTATATAAAAACCTTACTTTCATATATATATAAAAGTCCGACAATTATTTTTTAAGACATTTATTAAGTCTATACGTTCTTTTTATAGATAGAAATATTTAAGTAAATGCTCAGTTTATAATAAACAGTATTAACAACATTTACGGGCCTGAATGTCCGAGAAATTTTCATAGAAAATATGCGTCCTGTATCCTATACAGAACCGTCATATAGCCTGGCGTGCCTTAACCGGTGGACCACAGAGGAGCGTACAGTAAAATCGACCTTGCTAACCGAACGCTTCACATTTCGCCTCTTTATGGCAGGCGTCGTCAAGTTGGGATCAAAGACAACACATTTCGCATCTTCATAGCAGGCGTCGTCATGTCGGGATCAGAGAAACATATTTCGCATCTTCATAAAAGGCGTCGTCACGTCGGAATCAGAGAAACATATTTCGCATCTTCATAAAAGGCGTCGTCACGTCGGAATCAGAGAGAACACATTTCACATCTTCATAGCAGGTGTCGTCATGTCGGGATCAGAGACAACACATTTCACATCTTCATAGCAGGTGTCGTCATGTCGGGATCAGAGACAACACATTTCACATCTTCATAGCAGGTGTCGTCATGTCGGGATCAGAGACAACACATTTCACATCTTCATAGCAGGTGTCGTCATGTCGGGATCAGAGACAACACATTTCATATCTTCATAGCAGGTGTCGTCATGTCGGGATCAGAGACAACACATTTCACATCTTCATAGCAGGTGTCGTCATGTCGGGATCAGAGACAACACATTTCACATCTTCATAGCAGGTGTCGTCATGTCGGGATCAGAGACAACACATTTCACATCTTCATAGCAGGTGTCGTCATGTCGGGATCAGAGACAACACATTTCACATCTTCATAGCAGGTGTCGTCATGTCGGGATCAGAGACAACACATTTCACATCTTCATAGCAGGTGTCGTCATGTCGGGATCAGAGACAACACATTTCGCATCTTCATAGCAGGTGTCGTCATGTCGGGATCAGAGACAACACATTTCACATCTTCATAATAAAACGACAAAATAATTTCGCCTCTTTTCATGACGACGCCTGCTATGAAGATGCGACATTTGTTGTCTCTGATCCCGACATGACGACACCTGCTATGAAGATGAGAAATGTGTTGTCTCTGATTCCGACGTGACGACGCCTTTTATGAAGATGCGAAATGTGTTTCTCTGATCCCGACGTGACGATGCCTGCTATGGAGATGCGAAATGTGTTTCTCTGATCCCGACATGACGACGCCTGCTATGAAGATGAGAAATGCGTTGTATCTGTACAGCTAACAAATGCTAATTTTGAGGACGATTCCCTCTCATTGAATTCAGTCTAAAAATATATAAATGCCGATCGTAATGTAAGGTTGCCTTTGAAGATTCCATTAATCCTGTGTTACAGATGGACTGTTTCATCAGCCACAAGGGTCTAAATTGCTCGTAATTCGTTGTTAGCAACTTGTTCTTTTGCTTCATCTAGCTACAATCCTGACTCAGTGAGGGTGTGTAGTACGTAGTGTGGTGCAGTTTTAGGTCCGTTATCGCCGCAGTGTGTGT